CAATTCTCTGACTGACTGGCCATAACTGTGGTGCATAACTTACCAATTCTCTGACTGACTGGCCATATATGTGGTGCATAGCTTACCAATTCTCTGACTGACTGGCCATATATGTGGTGCATAACTTACCAATTCTCTGACTGACCGGCCATAACTGTGGTGCATAGGTTTCCATGAATTCTTCCATAGTGATCACCCTATGGTATTCTCGTAAAGGTTCCACTTGAAAATATTTATCAAATGGAATCTGCATCTGTAAAAAAAAATTAATAATATAAACTACAAATGTTATGTTGACAGAATATTCAGTTGACCCTAAATTATGTCTTACTACGTAAGTTTGTGTCAAGCAAAATATACTCTACTATGGATTGCAAGAAGTAGTGCAGACTAATTAAACTGATGTACTGTATTTCTCTTTTTGGTGTGAACTTCAACAATTCTCTAACAAATTTTATAATTTATTCTATGATTAGGTATTACATATATTCGAGAGCCAAATTTGAGGATATTAATTATTTATTATTAAAATTGTGTTTTATATTATTTCTATAGCCTTATAAGCCAATGAAGGCAGCCATCTGAAATGAGAGTTGATAAATCTCTAATTTTAACACTTCTCTAACATATTACTATTCCAAAACTAAATTTCTTTTAGGCATTTTTTATATAAAATAATTACATTGCAAGATAAATTTGAAAATAACTTGACAAACGCTTTAGTAGATGTACCAGTAAACCGTCATACAGAATTCATGTTTAAACTTTAGAATTTAAGCTTTCAGTGCTAAATTGTAGTGACAGTATCACTTGTACCATTTGAAATATACACATGCATCTGTATATGTTTTTTTGAATTGTTTTTAATAAAATTAATGGAATCTATTTGCAGTGTAGAGTCCAAAGCTACAAATCAGTCGTGATGTAGAGAAAGACACTCAAATTCACGATAACAAAAGTCTTCTCTAATCATTGAAAATTTGTTGATTTGTACGTGAGTGTTTTCTGGGGAAATACTTTCATGCCTAAGTGAAATTAAGTGTACAGTCCAAATTTAATAATTTAAAATAGAACCATGTTTAATTAATAAATATTGTCTTTCCAATTCATCCAACTCCACTAAATACGCATTCATATTGCAGGTTATTGTAACTCACCGATCGTGGTCCAGGGCTTCCAGCTGGGGGATACTCAATCCAAGGAGGTAGTACCAAAGTTCTATCTAATCCTTTCGCAAAAGCCAATGCTCCAAGGAAGTGGTCAGCTTGGTTACCAAAGCGACCTTGAAAAAACAGATCAATCCTTGTTATAAATTTGAACCATATTTGAGTTATTTGTGTTTCATACACATACATAATAATACATGATTGGTCTTTACAGTACTGTGTAATTTTAAATACAGTCCAACCATTTGCCTATATTTGTATGCAGTTGTATTTAAAAACTGTGTATAGTGATAGCCTATCTTATCTGATCACCCTTTCAGCAATATTTTCTTTAGTGAACAGAATAATTTAGTTTATACAGAACAATTTTTTATTTCCTCTAGTTAAACTAATTTAATTTTATTTATAATAACTCAAATAAATATGTTTTTTTTGCAACAGTACCAACTAAATTTTTCTCAACAAATATTACGTCAAATGTCTGAGTTGGCGATTCATAACAAAATAATCAAACTTCCATATAAAAACTTGTCTGTAAAGACCATTTTAATGAAGTCCATTGGGTGGTCATTCAACACGGTTTGACCATAGCTCGTTACATTTATCTTTCAATTACCCATAGTTCTTAGATTTCAGCAGGTTCTGTTCTGAACTTGAAGCCAAAATGAAGTTAAAGTTCAAACATCCCTTGAATGCTATGCAGATAACCATAATCATAATGTTGGAAATTATCACCCACAACTTACAGCTATGGCTGACTATGTGCCTAGGTCATGACACGAGGCCCATAAAATTATTGGTAGCACACATACCTATGTAATTGACAGTGGTATGTCTATGGTCAAAATAAGTCTATCTTAATGATCCTCTATACAGTAAACGCAATTTTTGCTTTATGTGCACTTCTATTAAAGATGTGATATATATATACAGTATATACTATGTGTTGATTACTGTAAAACAAATTATTTTCACTAACATTTAATTTCACTATTTTGATGTTTTGAGCATATCACTGTGTTTTAATTTCATGAAGATGTCAAGGAAACAACGTAGATTAATTTAGATTAAGCCAGTGAATAATTAATACATTTACAGTATGACCAATGTTCATGAATAACACTTACCCATGCATGGACAATACAGAATGTAGCCATTAGGATCAACTTCAGATTCTGTGAATGTTGCTGTCACCAGAGTGAAACTCAGGATATTAGAAAATATATTGGAAGATAGCAAAATGATTTGGAGCATAATAATTCTATCCAGATGAATTGCAGTCATTTTGTTTAACCTGAAATATATGATTGCACCCATTAGGAGAAGATGAAGGTAATGAATTCATGTAGCAAAGACCATTTGTTGCTTAAAAGCCACACAACGATATATACCAGTAATTACTATACATCTAGTTGCAAACAATAACATTTGCTGCTCTGTAAAAAGCTCTTGATCAACTCTCATGATCAAAAGCATGGGAAGTTTTGTAAACAGGTGCTTCACAGCACAAAATGAAATTGCATAATTTTTGTTTAATGCTACTTGTATTACTTTTTAGTTTTTGTTACATATATATTTATTGCTAACAACTGATAGAAATGTTCTTTTTCTAAAGATACAATAACAAATTACTATTACTAATGAGGTAAACTACAACAACAATATGGCAATAATTGATGCTTTCCTTTGTTTACATTGGACGCAGAATTGCTGTATCATGGTACTAGAATCTCAGCACTCACACAAACGTTTGATGTCATTTGGTCTATGATCTCCTGATAAATTATTACTACAAACCATTTATATAATGATAAGGTTATTGTAGGAGTACTAGTAAGCTGTTAGAATTCCAAGTAACCAAGATGTGATAGTAATTATATATTAATACTAATTAATGAGTCAACTGACATCCAATCAGCATTACTTTAATTTGAATAAGTGGGCTATCACAGACACTATGTCACCGTTGTGTCGTCACTGCTGTCTCAGCACAAACCTGTGTCATATGACGTCTTACTAGCAAATTTTGCCTAAAATAGCGCTCCGCCGCTGTTTTACACTAGTGTTTATGCACGGAACTTGATACTTCTTTTTCTAATTACACAATTCAGTGAAATATTGTTCAGTGAGTGAAATATTAGTATTATATATGTACATAATTTAATCTTTGTAACAGCAAAAACCATCACATAATAAAGCCAATTAAATTTGTGTTTGCAGTTCGAAATTTCCTGTGTAATTTCAGGTTTCAGATAGCTGGAAATGTTAAAATGAAACGTTTTCGGGCACAAAAGCATCACACTTAGAACGTACTCCATTCAAGAAACTATCGGTGTACACTCCGACTGCTGAGTGCACAATTTTTGGCCCTGCTCATTTCTATGATGTCTCTAAGAAATAAGTGAAATAATTTAATCAGTCAAATACGTCCTGACCATTCAATGACTTCCAAATGTTCAAGGTTTTCAAAAAAACTTTCGGCACTCTGTGCACGATATGCGTCAGGTTGGTGTTAAAGAATGCTGACCTGCAGCGTCAATGACTACCTGTATGTCACATCCATATTTGAATGAAGCCATGTGATCAGTATGGGTGTAAACTATATGTAGACTATATTGAGTTTCCCAACCATTTACAATAACATAATTTGGATCAATAAATAAATATAAATACATTTATGAACTATGGTACAGGTTTCTGTTGGGCACTGTAGTACACTAAAGTCAGGAAAAGTTCATTCTTATCATTATTAACTCAATGGTTTTCTACTGACTCTCAGTCTCATTCAAATCTACAATAGATTGCATCTAATTAATTAAACACATAAATTAGAACACATTACATCACTGCATGAGATCATAAATTATTTATAATATACCCCGTTACATGCCTTAGCTGTGTTTTAAATTTATACAACATTTAAAAATTGAGTGCAAATGCACAATATTCACTTTTTCCATACTTCTCACAGTTCTATAGTTGACAATTGTGTATTGGCTATACATGCAGACAAAAATACACTCAACATGTAACTGAGAACAAGTAAAATTATTACTATTACCAGTAATTCATTTTAGATTATACTAGTACCTATGGGTTCTGTTATTAAAGGTAGAATACTACACAGAATTAAAAATATTATACATGATATTTTATTTGATATTTCATGTCAAGAGGATGAAGAAAATGGAATAAAAATATGGGGTCACCGTACTCAGTTCAGAGAATATCAATGTACAAAATGGAGTGAAAATAGCATGTTTTGTCCATTTTAGGGCATTTTTCCATAGTTTCCTATGGATAACAGATATATCTCAATATCTCAAAATTGAGCTTGGTAAAATATGGTGGAAAAAAGAAATATAGTGTCTTACAAAGTACTTCCTGGTGTCTAGAAGTTATAAAAAATTGACACAATTTTTAATACCGGTAGGTTTTATCGAAGGAAATGTGTTTTCATTGTGGTCTATGGAAACCACTACTAACATGGTATTTTATTCATATTATTTTATTCATATTATTTTATTCATATTATTTTATTCATATTATTTTATTCATATTATTTTATTCATATTATTTTATTCATATTATTTTATTCATATTATTTTATTCATATTATTTTATTCATATTATTTTACCGTTTTTCTCAAAATACAGATTGACAGTGAATAAAAATGGTTCACATACTGTTGACTACCGGTAATACTAAAACGAATAATTGTGAACAGACTTTGACACAAAATATTACTACTGGTACTGCCACATGCACTAAAATATACACATGTGTAAAAAAAATCACAAGTAGCATTCTACTTTTTAACTGTAAAGTTTGTGATTTGCCCTTAAAACGTTTTTTTTTGTATTTCCTTCTATATGTTTGGAGTTTATTTGAACCTGCTCTATGATTGAATTGTATGAACTTTTATGTCCCAAGATGTCCCTACCATAGACCAAAATTTAGGGAATAATTTTGTCAAAAATGAAAAATAATGTTATGTTTAAATCCCAATTATCTTACAGTGAGAATAGAGCTTTCTGTTCTTCACACTTTAGGTTTATAACATCGTGACTTTGAATTTGCCATTGGGGGTAATCACTATCTGTAAGTAAATAATTTACATATTTTGTCAAGTTAATTTCATTCAAATAGTAGATAGATATTGGCTCAATATTAACTTTCCCCAAAATATGAATAAGTCACATGTACTGTAAAATACTTTAAATCTTATCCTGAAAAGACATTTGTATGAAGTTTATTTTCACTGATTGTTGATGAGTGCCACATGAAATATGGCAAAAATGGTATTTTCACTGATTGTTGATGAGTGCCACATGAAATATGGCAAAAATGGTATTTTCACTGATTGTTGATGAGTGCCACATGAAATATGGCAAAAATGGTATTTTCACTGATTCATCCCTTCAGCAAAATAGTGAAAATAAATAACATGTGTAATTTAAAATAGTAACTACGACCGACCACTTATTCAAAGTAAAGCCTTTTCTGATTGGATGGTAACTCAATAATAAAATTTTTTTTTTTGATTGAACAATTTTTCTAATTTATAAAAATTTATATTTATAAAAAGTTTATAAAATCCTCAGGTTTCTGTTGTTCACTCAATAAGCTGCAACTGTAATTGGTTTAAAATTACTACAATGACCACAAAACCATTCTTTTGATTTTTATCATAAATTTCAATTCATACTGAAACATGGTTTTTTATTGGTTGTGTCTTGGCATTACTGTTTTTACCTATCCCTTCACCCTAATGCTAATACCATGATACTTTAAATTAAATTTAACTTTAATTAAACTTAAGGTATTATAACTAGATATAGTTTAATTGATATAAATATTAATATAGTTTATAGTTTAATTACTAAATGATAACTGTAATATAATTGAATAATTTTAAATTGTAATTAAATTGAATTTATAAATAGGAATGCAATTTAATTAAATTGTTTCTCAGATCGTGGCTCTTGTTTGTGTTCTATGTTTTATTCTCAAAGATGGACCAGAACAGGAAGTCATTATACTTTAGCATGGGAGGAAACATTGTATATTCTTGTCTGTGATTGGTTCAATGTTTATCAGATTTTGACGTAGCTCCTTCTTCGAGAATAGACTCAGACTACTGTAATGTCATTCTAGTGCATACATACAGGTGCATACTTTTTGATCTAACCAGAAATTAAATCTGTGTATTTTGACCTTTCGATCGTCATTGTTTCTGTTCAAATTGACCAATTATTGGGTTATTAACAGCATTTTTAATATTTCCTACTTTCATCTACAACATTTATGAATATATAATGAGTAACTTTATAGTAGTATTTCTAATTATTTTGAATTCTCCCAGAATACGAGAAAATATTTCTATAAAGGTCAAATGGCGGTGTTGGCGTTGACGCTTCATAGATTTTGTGGACAATGCGTTTGTAAACTGTATAAGCAATTGAAATAATTGAATATTCAGTAGGAAGCCGATATTTTATCAAAGCTATCTCTATTCTTGTTTGGTTCATAATTACAGAAATATAGAGAATAAACACAGAAATAATTTGCATATGTTTTGTCCCGTTTGTAGAGATTATTTATTCAAGAAAAACTACTAGTAATACTACTGCCTGTGAACATCTGGCACTATCTTGCGTTATTAGATGAAATAATAACGGACATCACTTTATTACATTATAGTATTGTTAGTTTGATCGTTTTTTTTATTGGATTAAAAAGTTAAAGGGCGGTAGTTGTAGCCACGCATGTGTGAGATATACGGGTCTCATATAAACAAAGATGAAGACTTTGGATTGTGATAAAATCAATGTTTATCAACACAAATGTCGCACATGCACAGCGCGACGACCACCACCCTTTAAGCCCCAAAACAATCATGGCATGCATCTGACCAAAGTAGTCTGAGGAATGGGTCATTCCAGTTTGTATCCAACCCCCACAACCCACCCACCACCCCATATGGATGATATAATTCTGGAGGGTATAAAATAATGTACTTTTTCTGTTCCGGGAGGAGGGGTCATCATAAATGAATTCCACAGGGTGATCATTTTACTATGGGATTTCATAGGGTTGGGTTATTGCAGTTTGTATCTGCAACTTTTTTTCTGTTCGGGGCCTCCCCTAGTTAGGGGTCACTGTATGATTCATTCAGTTAGATCACAGTCCTGTGGTTAGATGTTAAATCTGATAGGTAAATTTTGGACTGTTAATTCGGTGGGGTACATTTGGGGGAATGATCATCCAGGGGGTGTTGAAACACCGTTGTATATATCCAGGGAGGATTTATTAAAAACTAATTTGAGGGGCACATTTTTAACTATAACCATTCATGTAGGGGTGTGGATACAAACTGGAATGACCCAACAGACAACCGTTTCTATAGGACGACAGTATAACATTGCAATATTCTCAAATCTTTCATTGGCGTTCTCATGACCCCATGCAATTGGCTCAGCTCACCACATGTTTGACTTATTAAAAATATCCACCCGCTAAAGCCGTGACGCCATTGCGCGCAACGCTCGTTTGGCTCGTGGTCGCCATATTACAAACCACGGTTAATCTTGTTATGATAGTCATATGTCCGAGGCTGAAGTGCTGAAGTGTCAGGAGATACTTCCGTTAACTAAAAATCAATGGCTTCAACTCACCAACAATTCTTACTCACTATTTGTTAAAAGCAGCCACGTAAACGGCGTTCTCTTGCTTGGATCGTGCTCACATGCCCGCTACTGAGGCAGATTGTTTATTTTTATTTCCGGGATATCTTGTCGCCATTGAGGGCGATATGCCAATATCTTTACGCGGGCTTTTTTTCTGAGCAAATTGAAGCGAGCCAGCGAGCATTGAATTATATCAGAAACACCAAATTCATTAAAAAAATGTAAATAAAATTAGAAAGTTCATAAATGATATTTATAGCAGATCACAGATCACAGTAACAGAAATCCGTTCAAATCCAGTATTTGTAGTTGTAAAAATTTCAACACTTGCTCTCGGATAAGCAATGCTGTCAGAATCATCAACATTCTGAATAAAACCCTATTGTATACAATGTATGTACAGTTTCCTAATACAGTATGTTTCTACTCGCGTAAAAATGAAAGATTAAAAGGCGATGGTCGCATCCTGGGACTTATACCATGGAAGGCACTAACTGAGTACCTTCCATGTTCATACATAGTGACGTGATTTACAAACGAATAACGAATCTAAATTGCACTTTAACAGGGCTTTATATAGTAAAGAAATAGACAAGCTAATTGATGAATTCAATAAAAAAGACTTTAACTAAAATATAAAATTTGGAACAAAGGATCACATATTTGTATTTAAACAACTAGTCACAAAATATCTTAACAAGAAATACATTTTTGCATGTTTTATTGACTTCAAAAAAGCATTTGACTCAGTCTGGCACCCTGGACTAATGTACAAATTAAGAAAAAATGGTATCACAGGAAAATTTTACCAAATAATTAATAGTATTTACCAAAATTCCCTTGCATGCGTAAAAACAAAAAATGGCTTAACAAAAACATTTCCAGTAGAAAGAGGCATAAGGCGGGGGGTGGGGGGTGGCCTAAGCCCACTATTATTTATTATATACGTTAATGACATTAAAGAACATATAAACATGGGAGAGAACAATCTGCCATCTTTGCGAAATAATACACTGTCATGTTTATTAAACGCAGACGACATATAATTCTACTATCAGAAAGCAGTTCAGGTTTGCAGAATGCACTAAACGGTCTTCAAATTTACTGCGAAAAATGGAAATTAAGCATTAATATTAATAAATCAAAAACCATGATATTCAACAAAAGTGATAAACACATTAAAAACCAAAATTTTCACATAGATGGTGTAGAACTAGAAAGAGTGTCAACATACACTTATCTTGGAATTAAATTGAAAACAAATGGTAAATTTGACTTGCTTGGCTCAAGAAGATCTTAAAAATAGAGCTATGAAAGCATGCTTCAAAATGAAACAGTTATTATTCTCAGATACATATATACCAATAAAAACATATCTTAAAATGTTTGATAACATGATAAAACCAATACTTTTATACTGTGCAGAAATCTGGTCAGATAGTATAATTAAACACCAAAAGATGTATATGAATATCATGTCACCAATGGAACAATTACACATGAAATACTGCAAATACCTACTCAAAGTTAACAGCAAAGCGACCAATGTGGCATGTCTTTTAGAATTAGGAAGGTATTCATTAGTTACAACAGGGATAAAACAGATGATCAAATACTGGTCTCGAATAAAAAAAATGCCTGAAAATTCTCTGGTACATGAAGCATACAGTCTCGGCTTAGAACTAGACAACTCTGGCACCTACAACTGGGTTTCCGGGTTAAAACTTATACTTAAAGATCTAGATATAGACCATTTGTGGCAGGAAGAAAATAATGCGAACAAACAGATTTTAGACAATGATAACAAAGGGAAAGATCACAAAAATAAATTGCGCACTTACAGAGAACTGAAAACAGACTTTGGCTTTGAAAACTACTTACACGTAGTCAAAAATACTCATCACAGGTCATCAATGACAAAATTGAAGATTAGTGCTCACAGACTACAAATAGAGACCGGGAGATATAACAACACAGATATATCTGACAGAAAACATATATGTTGTGAAAATAACGGCATAGAGGACAAAGAACATTTTCTTTTAACATGTGATCTCTACGCGGGAGAAAGAGAAACACTTTATCAGCTGTTATCACCCCCACATTTAGCAAAAAATAAAGAAATACTAAAATACATTTTAAATAATAAAGATGAGAGAACAATAATACAAATAGCCAAATAAATAGAGAACTGTTTCAAAACAAGGGAGGAAAATCTGAAAACATTATAGTCAGCTATCGCAAGATAAGGTCATGTACATACAATAGTAATCCAAACATTCACCAACACAAATATGGAAAACAATCCAATTTGCTTTTTTTCACCTACTTTTATTTGCTTGTCAGTTTTTCCTGTGTGTAATTGTATTCTCACTTGAATTGTTTGTTTGTCTTTATTCACATCTGTATTGCATTTTAGTCAAAATCCTATTAGGGATACAAACGCAATATAAAGATAATTATTATTACAATGCGTGTAAAAATGAAATTTCTCACGGTCTGTTGATTAATGAATAAGCAGCGTGACCACACAGTATATATAGGTAGTTAGTATTGTTCTTATAAGGTTGGATGTGAACAAAACTAGTAGTCGTTTACTTCTCGTACGAAATTTGAGTATATTTTGCTTACTTGAGTAGAGTGACTCTAAACACACACACAAAACAAAATGGCAGCGTCCAGCCAAACCGGCATGTCGATTACGCTTGAATTTAGGTGCGCGTATTATACTTTGTCTGTTTACTTGATGAGTTATTTCACCTAAAGTTCGATTACTGTTTGGAACATTTCACATTGAAGATCTTCGAATTGTTTAGTATATATTTCATAACTATGGCAAACTAGCGTTTTTTTGTCAAGGATTGTGTTTGTTAAAAGGCGGTGGTCATCGCGCCGCCGCTGTTTGATATGAGCCTCATAGCGACGTATACGGCGCGTTTTTGTTTACATTAAATTCGAACACGCGCTGCGCGACGACCACCGCCCTTTAATATCATCTGTTTACATCTCTCGTAGTGGGGGCGCAGAACTATTATTTGGCAAAGTGAAAAAACACCACATATCACTAGACGAATCGACCACAGCGTGTAAGTATCCGATTTCGTAATTTTATTTGTGTTCCTGGAGAACAGCACAATGTTGTGTACATTGTTGTCACTTTCAAGTAGAGATAACAAATTATGATGAGTTTATCTGACTTATGTATGTCACATTTCATAAAATATAACTTTTTGCTAGTATGAACCAATGTTTAATTATTTACAAGGAGGCAATAAAGTAATTATTAGTATTATGCAAAACGACAATTCGTGTATTCATATTTTCCCCCATACTTTTATATTATGGTGGGAAATACAAAAATTGTTCTTTCTCAATTTCAATTGCTTTTCTAACAATTTTATTTTCCAAAATAATCTAGCCTCCCCTGTTTTTACATTGGTATAGCCCCTAATGGCTCGGAATGTATAAGAAGGTTAATTGTGAGACCAGAATTTCAGGCGCTACTGCTTTCAGAAAATGTAAAACAAAAACACAATTGGTCGTTGGTTATAATGATATTTATTTTATTGCTAAAAAAAAATCACCTCATTTTAAAAAGCTGACGTAGGCAGTGTTTTTAAATAACAGGTGATTAACAACATACCAAGAATTGATCTTTACTGGCCATTATATACCATTTGTAACCATGGGTCTTGGGTTGCAAATGTCAACTACAGTATTGACAACTGGCTGCAAAACATATCAATAAATAAATAATATTTCTCAGTCAATTGCCAAATGGGAAATAAAGGAGTTAAACTGATTAAATTGTAGTGTTTTGGGCTGTGATATGCAGTGGAAGACACTTGTGCTTATTTCGAATCCAAAAAGTGTGTTTTCATAGACCCATGAGTCTTTGCAGATTGGTTTCAATCATTGGCTAATGTATTGCATTGTATCCGTTAATGTGATTGATCAAAATTGTTTTCAACCATCATTTGAAATTTATTAAACATTTATTAATACTTTATATGAAGAAGATGCATGCCGCTCTTTACGAAATTCACTGTATTTAATCATTAATATTCTATTGATGTACAATGTACACTGACTTCACCAAACACACTGAAATATAGACACTGATTTATTGTACATGAATGTCTGTATTTACAGGGACAATAAAGAAATTGTTAATCTGGGTGAAGGATAATTTACTAAAAGAAAGACCTGAACTGTTTCTACAAGGAGAGACTGTGTAAGTTAAATGATATGATGCTTGACATGTCTTTGCCAAATTTTCCAACATTTTCCAGTTGAAGCGGGGAAGTTGTCACCTACGGATGCATCAGGTGGCTATAGCGTAAACAAGTGTCTACCCATGAGCCTTTGCGTTCTTAGTGTGTGTTATAATCGCTCAGGCTTGGGACTCAATTCCAGCGCATACACAGGTGACTACCCCCCATTTTAAAGACATGAACACAAATTTAAGTGTAAATTTATCTCAGAATAACTGGTATTATTGAGAGCTGTATCAAGCATATTATGCAGATCATGAAAAGCAGAGAAAATAATTTCCCTGTCTAGCAGACAACTGTTTCACTGGTTACCCATTCTCTACTAAATTCTGAACTTGCTCATTAAGCATGTAAACTTATGCAACATCATAAATGAATAAATGATCACACTTTCGTCACTGTGAAATAATGAAGACAATTTACAACTGTCATCTATTGTTTGGAAAATTAGCATATTCAGATTAGCAGCATACTATATTTATCAGCCAATCAGAGTAATGGTCACTCACAGACCATAGTTGGTGAGATCTTTGAAGTATATCTAGATGTGAGTATAACTATAGGAGCCAGAATAAATAAATATATGGTACAATTTTATGGAATGTGAAATATGTGAAACATCACTCCCAGAACAATTAAAAAACATAGAATGATGTTGGATCTGTTATCAAATATGAAATATCAAAATTAATCTGTCGTGATCTTTTCATACATTGCAGTTTGAGATATTGTAGGCTATTAGCCACACAATGTCACTGGCTTTCAACGACAATTACGACATTCACATTATGGGATCTCTGCACGCATGCTGACTTGGTACTGACTCTCACCACATACCGAGATCTGAAACGTGAATACCTCTAATAAAGCAGCTAATATGCAGTAATATGGCCGAGTGGTTGCCATTTTCACTAATTGAGTCATCAGACTTAATTTTATTTTTTTCTGTAGTTTTTGTGATTTAATAAAATATGATAGAATTATCAACAGTATCATTTATACAGTTTATTATTATTTATATTTTTAATTTAGGAGACCTGGAATCCTGGTTCTTGTCAATGATGCTGATTGGGAATTATTGGTGAGTCTTTGGCTATTGTGTTTACCTAGGAGTTAACTGAGTTAAGGTATACTATTTAGTTTACAATTTATGGTAACTGAGTTAGGGTATACTGAAGCAAAAATGTATAGTGAGTCAAGTTGTACTGTTGTATCTAGTAATTCATTGAGTTAAGGACGACGTCAAAAGATCAATGTTGGATAAAAAACTTATTTGCTTTAGTGTGTGTGTGTGTGTGTGTGTGTGTGTGTGGGGGGGGGTTGACCTCAAAATTTTCCACCCTACAAAAACGATTTTATTTTTTAATGAAGTCAAAAAAATCTTGGAGTATTTGTAGTTTTTTTTTTTCCATCCAATCATAGACAAAAATAACAGAAAATGAAAAAACAAACATCCAAGACGAGAAAATGGTTTGGTCGGAGTGTAAATATGTGCATCAAATGAGGTCAATTTCAGGGCATGGACCTGGAGCATGCGCAGAACCCAGAAAGTAGTTTGCGCATACGTATATTCCGCTTCATTATTACAACCAACTGCTATGCCATACTACTGTCCGATTATAAATTTGTATTTAATGGTGTATGTAGTCTGACGCCATGATCGATATTTATCAATTGAGTTTCAGTGGGAAAAAACCAAACGAATTAAGTTTTTTATCCGACATCGATCTTTTGACGTCGTCCCTTGGGATCTACTAAGTTGGCAAGATTTGATGGTGAGTTAAGGTTCACTGTTCTATTAGGAAGTTAAATGAGTTAGGGTGTACTAAGGCAAGAATGCATGGTGAGTTAGGGTTTACTGTAATATTTACCAGGGTGTAGTTAGGTGTAGTAAGGCTAGATTTTATGGCGAGTTAGAGTGTTCTGTAGCATTTGTGAGATAACTGAGTTAGCATGTACTAAAGCAAGAATTTATAGTGAGTTAGGGTGTCTATGTATGTATGTCCGAGAAATAATTAGAGATCTTTGTATGTACAACTGCATATACAGCACAAGCATATTAGAACTGACCCAGTAATAACAAATAGTGCCCAAGTGGTGTACGAGGGCAGCAGACACAATATTGTGCATACTTTGGAACTCATTATTGTTGTGGAATACAAAATTATTTGATGCGGAATGACTGTCAAACGTCAAATGATTTGCCTTGTCAAATTATTGACTCAAAATATATCTAAAACTAGCAAATGTTTATTATTTTTGATATTGTCAGGAATGAATACTGCAAAATATTGCCGCAGTTCTTATAATCATTATAAATGTTGAGTTAAGGTGTCTAGAAAAAATGTTGAGTTAGGGTGTCTAGAAATAAATGTTAGGGTGTCTAGGAATAAATGATGTGTTAGTGTCTAGAAATAAATATTGAGCTAGGGTGTCTAAAAATAAATGTTGTGTTAGGGTGTCTAGAAATATATGTTGTGTTAGGGTGTCTAGAAATAAATGTTGAGTTAGGGTGTCTAGAAATAAATGTTGAGTTAGGGTGTCTAGAAATAAATATTGAGTTAGGGTGTCTAGAAATAAATGTTGTGTTAGGGTGTCTAGAAATAAATGTTGAGTTAGGGTGAATAGAAATAAATGTTGAGTTAAGGTGTCTAGAAATAAATGTTGAGTTAGGGTGACTAGAAATAAATGTTGGGTTAGGGTGTCTAGAAATAAATGTTGAGTTAGGGTGTCTAGAAATAAATGTTGAGTTAGGGTGTCTAGAAATAAATGTTGAATTAGGGTGTCTAGAAATGAATGTTGAGTTAAGGTGTCTAGAAATAAATGTTGAGTTAGGGTGACTAGAAATAAATGTTGAGTTAGGGTGTATCTAGAAATTTATGTCAAGTATGTTTTTTTACCCATCATATGAGAGATAAATGTTCTGAAGTATTTTATTGTTTTTTTTCTAGGGAGAACTGGAGTATGAGATTAAAGAAAATGACAATATAGTGTTCATTTCAACATTGCATGGTGGATAAAAATAATGATTTATTGCTTATTATGTAAATATGTATATTTCTGATGACATTCATAAACTTAAGGTGAATAAATCACCAAAATGCAGATAATTTCACTTTCATATCGAGTTAGTGTTTCAACTTTGATCATGTGACTGGTTACAAGCCAATCAAAAATCATTTCAGGTGAAGGTGAAGAAAAAAATCAAAGTTGCTCAAATAATATTTCTCAGTATGGCTCTCAAAAATAACCCGTACCTCACACATTTTGCATACCAGTGTAGAACAGGGAAATGTTTGCTTTCCATTTCACAATTTATTTAATAAAGGTTAAATATAGAATATATATCTTGTTATGCTATTAAATAATCTTAATACACAATAAAATAGAGAACCTTGTCACTTTATCATTTTTAAATTTTCACTAAGACGAGAAGCAATACCTTTATTTTTTGCATAACACTCAATATTTACCTTTTTACCACCAGAATTTCTCGCCCAAATTGTTCTGCACTTTTTCTTATACTCTTCAATATTTCTGTAAATGAACCCTAAACTTGGAGCCAACAAACAAAATCTGAGTCAATTTTCATTTTTGTCTCAATCTTCTGACTGACATTACAGACTATAAACGGGACTATTTTGTGAATTTGTGATATAAATAAAGAACTGGTGATGAAAAGGTTAAAGCATCCACTCCAGCTACAATGAAGTATATCAAGACAATTGGAAGTAAATTAACAGTATAGATCATTAAGATCACATGACCAAAATCAAGCATTTTTAGATGAATTTTACACCATTCAAATAAATGATTACCGGTAAATCAAGCTTAAAATTCAAAAGCTTAATATTTTCAAAATATGCCTACAAATATAACATATTGTCTACTGCAACAAATTTGAAATTACCCTTGGTAAGGGAGATTAACCCTTGACCACAGGATTAAAAGTCCCATGCTCTATGACTGAGTTAACTGATCCTGTTAAGATCAGTCGATGGATCCTGGAAATTTAATAATAATAACTTTATTACACTACTAAAAACCTTCAGAGGGTTTTTGTATGGTAAAGAACAATACAAATACAATACAATACAAATACAAAAAAATTCAAAAGAAATAAAATTAAAAGGGAAAATAAAAGAAAAAATAAATTAATTACTTTCTGTGGTTTTAAAAATTGTGGTCTTCAAATATTTTGTTAATGCTATATTATTCTCCATAATCTTTTGAAATATGGAATTCACATCCATTGTGTAAATATTTATTGCACACTCATCAAAAATTTGTTTTCTTTGTTCTATATAGCAAGTACAAAATAACAAGAAATAGTTTTCATCTCCCTAGTGCTTCAGTGTTACACTTTTTACAATGTGTATTTCCTAATTCTATTTTGGACTTTGTTCTTCTACCTTGATCGTTCTATTTCTAAGTTGTGGTTGTGGTTGAGGAATTTTGAAAGCATTTTCCTGAGGCTGAAATGTTTTGCAAATAATTTTCCATATTATAACTTACTCTGAATAATTTGTATGTTCTCAGTTTTGTTTATTTGTAGTAAATATTGCCCCTAAATAGCAAAACTCACTAACAGTTATTATTTCTTGTGTGTTGATTTTAAAATTCATGTTTTGAATCAGTTTTCTTTACGTTTACTTTAACATCATTTAATTTGTTAGGACAGCTTTATAAGCTGCCTTCTGTTTCTGAATTAATTGCAAGGTTATCTGCATATTGGATGCAATTTATAGGTTTCTCACCCATTAGAACTGGTTTGTCAATTTGATCCCCAAATAATTCTGGCAGATTGTTTAGAAAAATGTTAAATAAAGTTGGTGATAATTGCAACATTGCTCAACTCCACAAGTGGACTGAAATCCATCAGTTATACCCTCTGGTAATTTTACTTTATTATCCTCATACAAAATTTTATTATTTCATAAAAGCTCCCCTTAATACCAATGTTTTGTAACTGGAGAAAGAGCACATCCCTCTGAATGCTGTTGAAAGCTTTTCTAAAGTCAACAAAACAAGTGTATACTATTAAGCATTTTCCATTTTATTAGTCCCCGTTCAGACATGCATCCGTGTGTTCGTGCGTGCGTCCGTATCTTAGACATGTCTGGACCAATCACAATCAAACTTCACACATACATCATACATAATATTATACATATGCACATCAATCAGTTTTTCTGATTCAAGATGGCCGAATGGTGGCCATTTTTGTGCTAAAAAATTATTAAAATCAAAATCAAGCATTTACTGATGGATTTTGTTCAAACTTGGTACATACGTTGGACATTGTGGGATTTATTTTTCAGATCAGATTCCGAATGACTGGCGGCCATTTTGTTTAAATGAATGCACTTCAAACGCCATATCTCTGATATGCTTTGACTGATTATGTTCAAATTTTATATATTCTTTTTATATCAGCTCAGTCGGTAGAGCGTGGGACTTTTAATCCTAACGTCAAGGGTTCAACACCCTTAGCGGGCGTATTTTTAAATAATGGGTTACAGCTGACCAATAACATACCGTATATATGTCCATAGAGCCCGGAAATTTAATCTTAAGTTCAGGGTTTTAACCCCTTAGCGTCGTATTTTTGAATAACTGGTTATAGTCAAATGTGAAAGGTGGGATCTTGCACATCGTTAAGTTCAGGATTTAAACTAGTCATTTCAGTAAAAAAAGATTAATTATGATCAAAGTACACATTTTCATGCTAATAATTTAATATTCAAAACTTAGTCTCGGCTTCAACTCTTTGTCATATCGGAACAAATACTTTCTGTTCAAAGTGAGTCCTTCTGTAGTTCTGAATTATCTTGTAACTTTTGAGAGCAGCCATACAATTCGAGCAGCCCGGTTAGCTCAGTCGGTAGAGCGTGGGACTTTATTCCTAAGGTCAATGGTTCAACCCCCTTAGCGGGCGTAATTTTAAATAATGGGTTACAGTTGACCAATAACATACCGTTTATCTGTCGGTAGAGCCCGGAAATTTAATCTTAAGTTCGGTATTTTAGCCCTTAGCGTCATATTTTTGAATAACGGGTTATAGTGAAAGGTGGGATCTTGTACATCGTTAAATTCAGGGTTCAATCAAGTCATTTCAGTATATAAAATAATTATGGTCAAAGTACAAATTTTCATGTTAATAACTTATTATTCAAAACTTAGTCTCGGCTTCAACTCTTTCTTATATCGAAACAAATACTTTCTGTTCAAAGTGAGTCATTCTGTAGTTCTGAAATATCTTGTTGGAACTTTAGAGAACAGGCATATAAAACGGAGCAGCCCGGTTAAAGGTGGTATCTTGTACAACGTTAAGTTCAGGATTTAAACCAGTCATTTCAGTATATAAAATATAATTAGGATCAAAGTACACATTTTCATGCTAATAATACGGCAAAGTAGTAGCAAAATACGGCAAAGTAGTGGCAAAGTACGGCAAAGTAGTGGCAAAGTACGGCAAAGTATTGGCAAAGTAAGGCAAAGTAGTGGCATAGTACGGCAAAGTAGTGGCAAAGTACAGAAAAGTAGTGCAAAAGTACGGCAAGAAGTTGCAAAGTACGGCAAAATAGTGGCAAAGTACCGCAAAGTAGTAGCAAAGTACGGCAAAGTATTGGCAAAGTACGGTAAAGTAGTGGCAAAGTACGACAAAGTAGTGACAAAGTACTGCAAAGTAGTGGCAAAGTGCGGCAAA